ATTATTATCATTATTATTTTAGTGTAGGTAGGGGAAACATTGAGAGACAGTAGTTCCCTCATATGATGATTTAATAAGCAACACACACACAAACACAGAGAGTCAAGAAAGCTTCAAACTTAACTTGCTGCACATGGTGCCATGTGTCTGTACCCCAGTACTCTGAAGAGCTAAGGTAGAAGGATCAAAATTTTGAGCTCTTCTGGGACAACTCAGGGAGACCCTGTTGTAAAATTTCAAAAGGGCTTGGGATGTAGCTCACTGTAAAGGCTGAGTTCAGTCCCCAGTGCCACCAAAAAGAAAGCTAAAGACTGTCCTACTAACAAATCCAGTAATACAATAGTATTACTGTCATCTTGCCTTGTTACTAACAATCTCATCTCATTTCTATGATGCTACTCATTTTAACTCTTCATAAAACTAAGATGAGAAAAAGAATCCAGAGGAAAGAAATGTGGCACAAACTACTCCGTGTATCCATAAAGATATCTATGGAGAATCATTCAGGTTAGAAATCTTTGTTACATGTCTGTTGTTCTGGTTACCTTCTTGTTTTTGTCTGGTATGAGGAATGAACCCAGAGCCTTGGCACTGAACTACACATCCTGCTCTTTTTTTTATTTTTGCCTGAACCAGGGATTGAACTCAGGCCCTTGCGCTTGCCAGGGAAGCGCTTATTCCACTGAGCCATCTCCCCGGCCCCAGGCAGCTGATATTCTAAGCATGTGCTGCCACATTTCACTTAAAGTTCTGTATTTTTTCTTATTTTTCTTTTTTTTTTTTTTTTTTTTTTGCAGAACCGGGGATTAGAATTCAGGCCCTTGTGCTTGCCAGGGAAGCACTTATTCCACTAAGCCATCTCCCCAGCCCCTTTTTCTTATTTATCTAAACATCATAAAAGGGATAATTTTCAAGGAAAGATTCCAGTAAGTTGACTACTAGCCAAGAAGGTTTCAGGTATTTAATTGAGTTTTAGAAAAGACTATGCAAGCAGTCTGGAAAGCGGTCGCTTGATCTGGCTTTTATCCCACGAATGCTAGTTTGTACATGAAACTGTTTAGTAAGGACATATCTTTAGTACATGAGCTTCATGAAATAGTGTAATAATTATCAGTTATGCAGTACAATATGGTAAGTTGAAAGGATAATTAATAACCCTCGTTTAAAACTGTCTCATTAAAACCCATTTAATTTGTTGCTTTACCTTTTATTTCCGTGTTTGAAGACAATGTATAGCCAAATGCTTTGCAAAGAAGAAACATATGCAGGCATCTGATATCCAACCAAGTGAAAGCCATTTTTCTGAGATTTGGAATATTTGATGATCTTTAAATCTCCTAAGGGAAAAAAATACATATAACAAACATTTTAACTTTATTTTACTTTAAATAATCAAGTGGTTAAATGTGATTACCAATGCCTGTGGGAGCACGCTGTATGCTTTCTACCAAAAATGGAGAAAACTGTGACTCTCTGAACAGTGGGAATGGAAATAATCATGTTTGGAGGCAATATAACTGCAATGAGATAACTCGGGCATCATCTTTCTAACAAGAGAAAAAAAACAAGACTGGGCGTGGTGGCGTGCGCCTGTAATCCCAGCTCTTGGGAGGCTGTAAACAGGCGGATCACTAAGAGTCCGATCTAGTAGTGAGACCCAGAACACCCTGTAAACCCTTCCCTAAAATACAAAAAAAAAAGAAAGAAAGAAAGAAAAAGAGTAAAAACAAAACAAACACAAAAGTCCTGCAGCCCTTGACACACACGTGCATGTACACACTCACACACACACACACACACACACACACTTTTCAAATACCATAAGCAGGATGTAGTGACTTGACACACCCATCTTCCTGAAGAAGTCAGGGACTGGGGAGATAGCTCAGTGGCTTAAGCACCTGCCTGGCAAGTACAAGGTCCCGAGTTCGATCCCCAGTACAGCAAAAAAAAAAGAAAACAGAAAGTCTTCCTGAAGAAGTCAGATGCACATGTGTTCTTATTGCTGTGTGGAAGGGAGGGATTACTGCATCATTAGTCTCTATAGGAATCATCTCCCAACTAATGTAGTGAACCACTCTTCTCAGAGAAAAAAACAGAAGGTACCTGAAAGTTACCTGGCTACTGAGAAAGATCAAAGCCCATACCTAATCCTCAATCATTTGGAACTTGCTCTATTTCTTCGTAATTACTGAATCATCATCTTCTACTCTCACAATTGTCTCTCTTTTGCCTTTGTTTCCTGTACCAGGAAGTCACATCACCACACTCCCAGTTTTCCTGACCAACAGCTGGGAGCTTGCTCAGCTCCTCCCTTCCTCCTCCAATCTTTTCCTTATCACCACCATTACTTTAGTTGAAGATGTCACCATTCAGGATTTCCTGATCAGTCTTTCCTGTCTCCAACTCATTGTTCACACTGCCCACAGAAACAGTGGCCCTTCTAAAGGGCAAGTCTGAACTTAGCCCTTCTTTTAAAAACTAACAGTGTTTTACTACCACAGAAAACAAGGTAATCATCCTTATACTCTTGAAGGATATTCCTTTAATCACCAACACTTAAAAGATTCATGCATACAAATACCTATTTAGCAAATATATACTACTTCTAAAGGAAATGTACCACTCCAAGTTCCACACATCTTTTCAGTGTATGGGAGGCAGTTCTTTTGAAACAAGGACCCACTATGTATTCCAGGATGACCTTAAAGTCAATATGTAGACTAGGCTGGCTTCAAATTTGTGGTGATCCTCCTGCCTCAGCCTCACTGGTGCTGGAATTATAGACACAAGTGAAAATGTCCAGCATTATTTTTGAGTCTGTAGGACCAGCAATGTCATAGAAAGGTAAGAGTGAAAGCTGTGTTATTCCAACATTCTGGACTACCTTTCTTTTTTTTTATTTTATTTTTTGGTGGAACCAGGGATTGAACTCAGGCCCTTGCACTTGCCAGGCAAGCGCTTATTCTACTGAGCTATCTCCCCGGCACTGGACTACCTTTCTTTTCTACTGTGTAGATTAATTCAGCAAGACCTTCTCTTCCCACCTCATCCTCTTCATCCAACCTGTCACATCAATAATATTGTAATGTCAATAAGCAATCACTATTGCATAATAAGATCTTATTATCAAATGACTGAAGCCATCAGGTAGGTTTGAGGCAATCCTAGTCAAATTGTCTTTTATGTAATGGGAAGCAAAAGTCAAATTTGCCCAAGATTTCACAAATTGGTAGTAGCTGAGGGCAAAACAAAGATCTCATGATGCCTACTGATGTACCCTTCACCCTTCTGTGGTGAGTCCCAAGTGCCTGACTCAGAATTACGAAAGCTCTACTTCTGGGTCCCTGATGTTAGTCTTCCTTCAGCAACCTAAGCACACTGAGTCAACAGGATGCTGTTCATCCTATGCCTCATAAAATGCTAACAAAATTTCATTTCTTTTACTAAGCACCAACAAATCTCTCTCCTTAATTCCTTTTCATCAGCCTTCCTTATTCACCAGACCATGGCCACCTGTGAATTCATTGGTAAGTACTAACAAGATTCGGATACCAGAAGAATACAGATCTTCCACAGAGCTACTATCATAGCTTAAGATGCACACAGGGGTTAAAGCTGATGGAAAATTCTTTCATATTACCAGTACACCAAGACTAGGACAAGGTTCCCTAAAAATTCTATCAGAATGATCCTAGCAAAATTCTCTATCTTCTACCAATGTGTCTTTTAAAGTTTCATAATGTACAGGGCCAACCAGGTAGCTCAGCAGACTAAAGCTCCTGCTTAGTCAGGCGCAGCGGCCGGGGTTACATCCCTGGAGAGCTGTGCTGTCCCATCCCCAGGGCGGCTGAGACGCCAATGAGACTGGAGTGATGGCATGCACCTGTAATCCCAGCACTTGGAAGGCTGAAAACAGGAGGATCGCTACGAATCTGATCTATAGTAATGAG